AATGGATCACTGAAGGTATTATATATCTCATGCCAAAAACGAGTGAAACAGATGATCCAAAAAATTATAGACCAATGACATGTCTGTCCACCACGTATAAATTAATCACGTCTATCCTGACATATGTCGGAGTTAACTCCTCCTTCAGTTCGTAACCCTTTCACCAGGGATCTCTCTTTCCTGACTATAAATAGCCAATGACCCTTCGCCTCTATCTCTTTTTTCCTTTCAGGCCTGTGCACTGACACCTCGAGCCAACAATTTCAAAATGGAGTTTCAAATGAGTGAATAAATGAAAGTAAAGCATAATATACTGACTGCAACAGTAAAAAACTTAAAACAGAAAGCAAAGGCAAATTCAACCGACCAGATACAGAAACGATGGCAAGATAAACCGCTTCACGGTTAATACTCTGCCTGTACCAAACAAACTGGTGTAGACAAACCCCGTAACTATTAGTGGCTACGTGATGAAGGGTTAAAAGCCGAAACTGAAGGTTTTGTTCTTGCTGCACATGACCAATGCTTGCTAAATAGAAATTTCCAAGTACGCATTCTACCTTCTGGAGAGGGAAATTTCCTGCAGTCAGCTCTGACAGTCGGACCGAACATTCTTGCAGTAACACTCTCGTTTGTATATGTTTGTATTACTGTTTCTATTAATATATTTGTTTAAGTCAATTCCTCTGTTGTGTCTTTATTTCTGGCCCTAACAAGGTCACAACAGAAAGTGTGACACTGAAATTCGAAGACACGTTGGAATAGCAAAAGACACCTTCCAAAAACAAAGCAAAGTATTAAGAAACAAAAAAGTTTCGTTAGAAACAAAGGAAAGAGTAATGAACTGTTACGTAATATCAATCCTCCTATATGGCAGTGAATGCTGGAATGCATCATTAGCCATCCAAATACGTCTTGGGATCTCAGTGTCGCACTTTCTGTACTCTGTTAGAACACTTCCTAGTTATTTAAATTTCTGTACCTGCTTGATGGTCCACTATAATGTTCATAATCTAGAGCGTCAGTTTTACGTTAGACTGTCTGTTAGTTGTTGTGTCAATAACTCTATTTTGTATGCAGTCAAATGAAATGATTCAATAAATCATAACTTAGGAGAGGTTTTGTGGTATCTGCAATAACAAATGCCCAGGTGAACTCGTGTCTATGCTTGTGAACCGCCAATGTAGGTTGTCCTGAACATTCAATCTTCTATCTGTTAGCGGACAAAATGAAGATATTTGTTGGGTATACAGGATTTAAATTCTATATATCTATTTATATTTTTCAAACAATAAAATCACACCAGAAGGTTTGTTGGATAAACAATCTTTACTAGAGCAAATATTGCCAAAATACTTGCGGACGTAGTGGTAGACCTACCACGTGTTATTTTTGGACCATTTAGAAAATAACAATAATAACTCCCGCAAATCCGAGAAAAAGATTTTCACGAGCCAATGAAAACCTTGTATTAAAAAGATTTACACATCTTTGTGAAATTAGATTTTGAATCACTTAACGGATATAAAAATAGAAGTATACTACTTCTCAGGGTTCAAAACAATTTCAGAAGCTAGTGCATACCAACACACATGCACACAATGGAAGAAAGATAGACAGCAGCCACCGACTAAGCCTTGTCTACACACACACACACACACACACAAACACACACAAACACACAATAGAAGGGATTAACCAGCAGCAGCCGATTATGGCTTTGTCTACGAATTCACAAAGACATTAGGCTGGCCGTCATGAAGTAAGTCTGTCCACACATTTCACATCGCTCTAGCAACACTTAATTACTTTATAAAACAAACTTCACTGCAAGGAAAACTGAATATTTTATTGCTATTGTATATTTCTGAAAAGAATATATATTATTTCAACAGACGTTTTGATTCTACTTTTCCTTCAGAAAATAACCTTTTTTATGTTTCATTTAAAATATGTGTTGTTGTGTCAGATAGCAACTAAAATCTGGGTAGACGGATCCCAACAGGTGGATAACTGCACCATCGAAATATTTCTTGTGTATAATCGATATGACAGTATTCACAATAAAGTTTATTTTTTGAGCCCCTAGTTGAGCGACTTCAAAAAGCGGCGAATAAGTAGAGGTTAATACATACCATCAAATTAGTTTTCGAATGTCTCAGCAGGTGAAGGTGAGCAAGAACTAGATTATATTTTAACGTTCTTTTTTCTCCAGCCACTTGCACCATGACTTGCAGAATTTTGCCCCGACAAATCTTTAGTTCCTGGTTTTTGTTAGAAGGGCGAAAACTGGGTGGGTAGTCGTTTGTTTTCTTTGACCAGTATTCGTTTCCATATATGTTATGTGCTATATGGAAACGAATACTGGACAATCTCTTCAAAGATGAAGAAGAGACTTTAAGGAACAGAAATATGGTTCAACAGAAGAATGTTAAAGGTACCATGGGCCGAACATGTGTGCAACGATGCAGTTTTGGAAAGAATGGAAACAAAGAGAAAACTTATACTTTACATTAAGAAGAGGTAGTTGGAATTTCTGGTACATGTAATGAGAAAGGAGGGCTTGGAAAATCTGATACTCACAGGATAGATAGAGAGAAAGAGGAACAAGAGACAGCAACACGTGATATGCGTAACAGGCTTGAGCAATGGCAGGACAGGGTAATAACAAATAAACAAAACTGCAAGGGACGGGAGGATGTGGATGGCCATGATCGCCTTCGTCCTGTAGGGACACGGCACATAAAAGAATAGTGGACCAAGATAATGCTACTGATTTGATGGTATGGAGAATTATGGGAAAATATCCAAACATAATTTCTCCTCATCGCAATTCTAATGCAGCAAAACCGAATATTTTTCACAGGATCGAGACTGGTAGCAACACTCCCACATTTTCTAAGCCACGACAACTATCAGTACAGAAATTCGACACAGCGAAAGAGGAATGTAAGAAACTCCAAAAAGCAGGAACGATATCCTCTTCAAAACTGGAATGGAGTTCAGCTTTAAACATGATACCGAAGTTAGATGGTACATACAGGCCCATAAGTGACTCCAGGCAACTAAATTCAATAACAAGGACTTTACAGAAACATCACATTAAAACACTAATTGCCGTACAATGACCAAAGCTAAACAGCGTTGAGTCTGGTCTGTGCCTAGCTGGGTGACCATTTGGGAATACCAGGTACTGTAAGTGTGGATGTGCGGGTGGTGTTATAGATAATGGCTCAGCATTGTTATCAAAGAGTCGAGTTCCAATTCCAGTTGGGTTCTTTATATTCACTTACGTGAAATATTCTTGAGAAAGGTATTGTGACGGACTTCCACCATATTTATTTAATTTTTTTAGGAAGCCAAACTGATGTGAAGAAAGGACAAACAAGACCGATAAATATATAAACAAATATATGTATCAAACAAAACATTTACAGAGCACATAGACAGTTAACATTGTGTTTGTGTGTGTGTGTGTGAACGTTCGTATTATGGTGAATGTAGATCGGTACCAAGTGCTAAATATGAATTCTGGTTCTTTTCTGTTAATTCACTCCAAAATAAAAAGAATTTATATTTACTAAAATTTACACCAAAATTCAGAAATATCCTTTAAAATTGCTCCAAAAATGCATTTATTGTTATGTTTTGCCTTACGTCTCCAAAGGAACTCACACAATATATGAATGCATTATGATGCAATGAGTCCTGAACATGGATATATTCTTCATTATGGCATTCCACCAGGTACTTTCGGTTGCTTGCGTGTGAGCTGATTTTTCTGGGTCAAATAAATTCATCCTGTGATTTACAGTCAGATGAATATAATTAGGATCATCCTTCAAAGATGTATATTCTTTCCAACAATCCGACACAATTGTAGTCTCAGGTAAAACACAATCTTGGATTGTGTCTAATAATGTGAAGGCTGTTCTATCTTGCACAAAGTACATAAAACATTCTTTTGTTACAAAAGTGCCAAAAATTTAATAAAAAACAAACTTTCATTTAAAATTTATAATTTCGAAAAACTGTCAAAAATTTAATTAAAAAAAAAACAAATCTAATAAATGAATTAATATTTGCGATAAGTAACTTTACATTATTTGGGGCGAATTAACAGAAAAGATCCTAAATTCTTTATCATCTAAGCTACACGGTAAGAATATATTTTCAAAAACTGATCTATCATCACCTTATCAAATGCCAGTTCAACCTGACGATGTACATAAATTTGGCATTACAACCCTGTTCTAGTACAATTACATGCCTTTCAGACTATGGAATCCATCAAGTACATTTCAGCGGATGAGTGACAACATTTTCTATGACTTGTTGCAGGAGTATGTACGTTGGTGTTTGAATTGGAAAGCATGTGCCTCCTGGGATGTTTATCCCACAACAAAAATTGCGGACTCGGTATGTAAGTCCGGATAATAAAATAAAAAGAAACAACTAAAACCAATATATATACAAACAAGCGATAATGTATTATTAACAAGACAAAAAGTTACTTTCTTGCGAACGACAAAGGCAATAATGTTGTATGTATGTGACAAAACAATGAACATTTATGAAAACATTTAAAGACTAGTGAATTGTTCGTGTATGTAAAATGTGTGTAGAAGTCCCAGAGAAAATGAAGTTGCCTATGTACATGTGCGTGTGCGTGCGTTTCCCAATGGGAAACGTGTTTTCACGTTAGACCTACATTCTAGCATGTCTAAGAAAAATAGAAAAAAAGGAATGATGAAAAATATTACTGTATTTATAGGTTCAGAAAGCGTCCCCTAGTGGCATTTTTTAAAGGTAAGTGGAGTAACTCCACAGACTTCAGTTGTATATTCATATACATCAATGACAAAGTACCACAACGTGGTGTCATGGTTTGCAGGTTTGTCTCACTAGAACAATTACAACTGAGTAGTGAGTTCAGTCTTCACTGCATGCCCTTTACTTTGGGCCTTGTGCCACATCTAAACTATGCTTAGAAAATCACAATGTGCATTTCTCTCCCTAGACTCTTTTTTTACAACTTTTTACCTCTGGCTACCAGATGTAGTTGTATGTGAGTAAGTGTCCCTTACTGGGATACATTCATTTCATGGTTTTTTTCTCTCTTGACTTTTGTACTCTTTCACACATTATTGTTATGCGCATACACACGCGCGCGCACACACACACACAGCACATTCTTATAGCTAGTTTCATTTTTTCCTTTCGTTATATGCAATTCATTGTGTAAATACATACATTGTTGTTTGTTTTATATTTATTGTTTTGTGTTAGTTATTTTTTTTACTTGGACTCACATTGAGTCTGTCAGTAGTGTCTGTGGGATAAATTTTCCAGAATCCCGAAATATTTACTTTAATTTAAAAGGTTTTGATTCCCGCGACGTAATGGCGATTAAAAATTTACCTAATCATACTAACTAGCATCCCGCAAACTCTTCTTATGTAATTAATTAATATCAATACTCTTATATGGCTGTGAATACTAGACAATCTCATTAGGTGAGGATAAAACTGGAGGTAACACAAAATGTGATTCTACAGAAAGGATGCTGAGAAGTCCATGGATGGAGTGCATAACGAAGAAATTTTAAAGAAAATGGAAACGAAAAGAACACATACTCAAACAGAGACAGCTGAAATCTCTTGGACACATAATAAGGAAGGAGGGCTTGGAGAATTTGACATTCAGAGGACATATCAAAGACAAAAATAGAACAAATAAATGTTACTAAGAGCTACAAGAAGGAGGTTGTGGAGAGTTATGATCACCCACATCTTGAAGGGGCAGATCACATAGAAGAAGAAGAAGCAAAAAATAAAGATAATTCAGATAAACAATAAACACAAACTTCAAACTCATTAAATACACGCATAGAAATCAAGAAGTAGATAAAAACAATTAGGATACTTTATTTTCAGAAAATTATTTTGTTTAAGTATTAAATTATGAAGGGAGATAACTCGTAGTCTTCAACTAACTTCTGACTCTCCTGTTTTTTGAGACAGTGACCACGTCGTCAAAAATTCGGTTGTGAGCCTGAGCCATCCACTTTGACAAGGTACAGCGGCATTTTAAAGGTAACGTTGCATTAATTTGGTAAAATGATATATAAGAAAGTTGAATGACTTAAAAGAAGTAATTCTGTTTGAAAGGTTAATTGTCTTATGTTCTTTTAATTTATTCTTTTGTTTATTTTCCAGTCGTCAAAATGTTGTTTATAATTTACTCGTCAGTTTCTAATGTAACTAAAACTTGGAAGTTCATACGAGTTTTTCATTTTTATTTTATTTTGGATTTTTGATTACTTAAAAAAAAAGCTGACTTAACAGATTAAAAAATAAATATCATATGGAAATATATTTGAAAGATTTTCTAAAACTATTTCGACGATGAAATTTTTTAAAGAGTAAAGAAAGATTTATTTGTTGATGAATTTAATGATTAAACAAGTTTTTTGAAGTTGAGTCTGTCTAATGAAAAATACTCTCCAGTTTTTTGATGTTGCTGTCTTTGCAGATTTCGTTTTGTCGGAAAAAAAACATTATTGAGAAAACTAAATTATACTGCTTGAATCATTCTTAATAAATCTGTTAAATGAAGTTAATTCCCAATTATACTCACAACCTTTAACACTAACAGTATTTTGTTTTTGATAGTCGACAAAATTTTCGTCTTTTAATCAAGTACCAAGAAATTAAAATGAAAAAAAGATAATTGACGTCAAGGTTAAAAAAAGAAAATCTAAAAAGTAAATACTACGGAAACATTTTATTTTTTATGGTTAAAAAAAAAAAAAAGAAAAATAATAAAATTAGTAACTACTTAAAACATTTGTTCTTGGTGTGCCGTCATAAAAAAATAATAAATGTGTCGATTATTGCTTTATTAGAAAATGTCAATTAAAAAAAAACATTTCTAGGTTTATCTCAATTGAATTAAAAAAAAAAATTCTTTATCTGAACTCTGTCTTTTTTTTTCACCAAAAAAGTTATTAATATTTTAAATGTGAATTATTTCTAAATTAAGAATCCTTTTTTTTAGTTTTTGTTTAATTTAATTTTTTAACCTTTCTTTTTTTTTTTCTAAATATCTTGAACTTAATTTTTTTTTTTTTTTCTTTTTAATTTTTTGTTTTCTCTGTAAATAATACAAAAGAAAAATAATTTTTTAACATATATAAATCATGGTTATTAAACAAATAAAGGTTGTTTTTAAAATATTTTTTACTAGTAGTAGGTACACAATCATGAGAAGTTATTTATTTCCAGTAGTTGATTTCAGCAGCACAAATTAATAATAATATCGATATAAAAAATATCGATATTATTATTAATTTTTGCTGCTGAAATCATTTTTTATTGAGTCAGTATAAATTTTTATCTTTAAAATTACAACCACCAACCCCCGTCTCCAGGATAATCAGTGTTTGACCAACAGACAAAAAATATATTTTTCTTATTTTAATTTTCGCCTTCTGATGTTATTTTTGTCCGTTAATTTTCATTTTGAAATGGAAAGTAGCTATTTCTTTTTTTTTTTTAAAGTGCTAACAACTCTTGTGTTGCAAATGAATAAAATAATAAATAAAAAAGAATGAAAAATAAAGTACTAGATTTTCTTTTCGTGTCTGTCTTCCTTATTTATTGAATTTAAGGAGAAACAAAAAATAAGTCTAAAAATTCATGTCGTAAACATGTTCAATTTTGAAAGAAAACTCGACGTTCATCATGACTCTAGAGATCAAAAAGATGTTCATTGTTCATTTTAACTTTTTTGTAGATAAAAATGACATTATGGGTCACTTTTTTGTGTGTTGAACTAAAAAAGGCATCAGGAAATACATCTCTAACCCTATCTGCCTTAGTGCAATATGGAAATGCTGCATGCAAGATCTTTGAAAACAACAGTCTTCACTTAATTGTCATTGACTCAATGTGTTGGAAATATTGAGTGTATACATCCATCCATTTGTTTAGTTCTCAGTTCTGAGACAAGGTCCTGTTATCACTGAAATGAGTGTTTCATTATGAATTGTTATTGTGTTTTACTGATTTACATTTAAATCAACCAATAAAGCTAACAATTGAAAAGTACCTTTTATATTTTGTTTAATTATTGGTCAGAGAAACCAGCAGGAAAATCTTGTTTACACTAACATATGATAAAAATGATTTAAATTTTGAGATAGGCCTTATAACTTGTAATATAGCAAACAATTATAAAAGTTTTGATTTGGGTTATACAAGGTACAGAAGAAATACCTCCCAGATTTTAAAGGTTGACAAATAAACCAAGGTAACTGCTATTTAAAAAAATATTTCATTGTTGTTAAAACAAAGGGCTACAGTTTTTATTCATTTGGTTTTAAAAATAACCTCCTCCAAATGGTGGCCTCTATTCGCCATACTCTGTTTTAAAGTTTGGACATTTTCTGAAGTTTGAAGCTTTCCAGGTATCTTGCTTTTCAGTGCTGAACTTGTGGCCCTGAAATGTTCAACCCATAGCAGTACCAATATTCTATCTAAGACAGCATCATTTCACATTCTGACATAACATGAAATGATCATGAAAAGCTCTCTGTGTTGTAATTACAGATTCACCAGTCTTAAAAAACATTTCAACAGCAAATGCACTGTTGCACTGGTTCAAGCCATGAAGGTTATTGATGGTATCTGAAAAAAATGTTAAGATATTAGCTAGATGAAGACACCATTATCACTTAAGTTCACTAGCACCACAAAGGTGATAGTTTGAAATGTGGGAGGTGTTTTTTGCCTCACCCTGTATAAACTTGGCTGCCAATTTAGAAATATTGTTGTTTTCATTGAAACTTAAAAAGAAGAAACAGTTGCCAGTGCAAGCACTGCTCTCCTAACTGTCAGCACCAATAGAACCTCTTAGCACTGAAAAACATCAATTTTATTTACCTGAAATCACTACAGATTATTTATGATTTGTTAATGACCAAGCATCACTGATGCAAAATAACACAACTGACATGAAAAATTTAAGTAGTTAAAATTCATTAAAGAATGACAGTTTCATAATTAACTATCCCCGTCTGAATACATGCACTTGAATCACAATCTTAATTCAAATCTATACTTCTAACATCTCTATCGACACTCTGAAATTTCACTTACTAATTTTTTTTTTTAATATAGGTTTGCCTATTGTCCAGTTCATACTCCTTCCCCATCTTTTGAACAGGAGTTTGGTTTATCTCTTGTTTCCTGTTTATGATTGGGTTTCCGGTTCCTAAGGTTCTCTCGTTCTCTTTCACTTCCAGTAACCCCTCATGTTCTTGTGGCATTATCATCTTGCTTGGGGTGAAATGATTTAAAAAAAAAAAAATTCAACTGTAATACTGGGATATATATATATTGCCTTCTCCAAACAATTAGACCAAAAGTTTTACCTACACCATACATATCTTAGTCAACATCTTTTTTTTTTTTATTTTACTTTTAATCTGGTTCTCTTCTTCAAAATTATTTTACATTGATTCTTTTTAACCAGTTTCCTTGTCTCTGTCTTTATCACAACATTTTGGCCACACTACTTTCCAGCCTTCCTTGAGTACCACATTTGTTAACCTTTCAAGATTTGAGCCATTCTTTTACTTGTCACAATCTATGTTGTTCCTCAAGAATTTCAAAACTTGTAACATAATTCTTTCTTATGCTGTTGATCAGCTTGTTCACTCAGTGGATGTATATTTATACACTACCTAACTCCGGAATTGAACTCATGGCTTCTAAGAAACAAGATAAATTTCACCAGTGCTGCCACTAGACTATGCCTTATAAGACCATATAAACTAATTTGAAAGAAGTCATATATGATATTAACAATACCTCATCTTGGAAATTTGTGGGTGATGTAATGGATAGTGGCTCAGAATGAGAAATTGGAGAGTCAAGTTTGTTACATTCACTCACATGCAAGTATCCTTGGGAAAACTATGAATCCATCCCTTTCTGCTATGGGTTAAATAGTAAGAATTGTATATAGAAAAATCATTGTTATTCTAAAAAAAATGTTAATGCAATATTCACTTGCAAAAAAAATATTTTTACTATACAAAATGTTTTGGCTTTGAATACCCTACAAAGTACTAATAAGCTGTAAAAACATTTATCTCCAAAATTTAGGCAAGAAAATTTTTTTAAAAGTTTTTTAGTTTGTTCTCTCAATTCCTTAAGTCAAAAGTCTAACTACTGTCCAATCTTACATGGCATAACAGAAGAAACAATTACAACAATTTGCTTGGGTCTCCATCTTTTATTGGGATTGAATTTTATCTACCATATATGTACATATAAGAAAATATTAATAATGAAGAAAAAAGATGATCAGTTAAGCAGAATGTCAAACAGTATCATCTTGTATGAATACGCTCTTTAGTTTAAAGATTATTGGTTGTGAACTGTACCACTCGAAAATGTTTTGTCCAAGAACTCAAAATAATTCTCTGCATTTATCACCATCATCTTCTTCGGAAGGACCTTTAATTTTACTGCTTGCAATACTAACTCAAAACATTACTCCACTTCCCCACTGCTGTCTTGTAAATTGTGTTGGTTGATTATTTCTATGAAGAACCCAATTTCTAGCTTAGCCATCAGGTCCATCCAATGTAGTGTTACATTCATTACTAAAAAAATTAGTGTTGAGAAATAAGTTATCTACTTCTTTGTCCAACTTACATGTTTCTTTTTGTGATGTTTATTTAAAGGTTGTAGTTTGACTTTGTTTTTAAGCAATGTTCTTGTATCTTTTTTCTTTTTACACTCACAATACCATGCTTTTCAAATATTTTCTTACCAGTCAATGCATTTTTCTTGCTGATTATTACCCTTGATTTTTTTTTCTTTTATTTGTTGATATTTTCAATTTCTTTTTGATTGTTCTGATATCTCCCTATATAACTTTCTTCAGTCAGTTATGTGTCATGCGGGATACCCGCTTAGACGATCATGTATCATTTGATACATGACTAACGAGGCAGGATTTTCCTTGCAGTAAGTTGCCATATCTTCCTCTGGTAGACCAGTTGCCATCCAAGGCTATAGAACCTTTCTGTGGAAAAAGAGGATTCATACCTTTCCCAAGGGTATTAGCATGTAAGTGAATGAAATGGATTCAACTGGAATTCAAACTCGGCTCTCCAATTCATCAATCTGAGCTGCTATCCACTACTCCACCATAACTTTCTTACAGTTCCAAATTTTGTTTCCATCACTCAATAACTTCATAATAGCTTCCTTTTTGAGGTTATATCTAACATCCCATAGCAATATATATCATTTATATTTGAAATTAAAAAGTAAATATTAATAAATATACACACATACACAATCCCTAAGTTACTGAATAAAACCTTGCACTACCAAGTCAGTTATCATAATATTTCTAATAAAAACAATACTATAAGCTGAAATTCATATAGTAAGTTTATCATATAAGTGTAAGTATATCCTGAGAATTTTCCCAATATCAGTTGGTTAATTTTATTGAGCAAATATTGATTTGCATCATAAAATCAGACATTGTGTAGGTTTGTGCCAGAAACTTTATCTGATAGTTAATAGGGTGATAACGTGCCAACCAATATTGATTATGATTAGTTGTTGCTTGTTGGATTAAACCAACTTTGGTATAGGCCCAAGCACAAAGAGCACTTAATGAGGAATGAACCCAGTGACAATGACTTGAAAGATTAGCATGATATCACTTGCTGAAAGGTAGATGTTTTCTGCATATACACACATATATATAATTTCATTGAATAATATAGACATACATCTATTTTTATAATAATCCTTTCCAGTTCTCTAATCAGTTTTTTGATGTTAAGATGAAATTCATGAAGGAAGGTGATGTAACTTTTTCCTACCCAAGTACTTTCGATCTCCTCCAAATTTTCTACACTGAATTAAAAAACATTAAACAAACTCTCATTAATAATGACTTTCCTAATTATATTGTTGATGAACAGACAAGCCATTAGAAATATTAACATAAATCAAAAAGAACATAATACCTATTCAAATAACCCTAAACATACCAACCTACTATACTGTAATCAAATGCATTCTAACTATAAACAAGATGAGAATGTCCTTGAAAAAATTTCAGAAGTACTAATACTGTATATTCTCCACTGATTCCAGTAAAAAAAAAAAAAACTATAAAGTTATACTAAATTTAACACAAACTACTTAATCATACATAGCTCTTCTCTGTCAACTAGTGTTTTGGAAAAGACAAACATTGCATATCAGTTTAAATGTCCTTTGGGAGATTATGTCTCTGACAATAAAATAAGTACATATGTTGGTTTGACAACCACAATATTGTCAAGATATCTTACACTTCATTTGTTGGATACATGTTCTATTGCACAACAAAAAAATACATTCCTGTCCACCTTCAATAATACAGGAAAATACTTGTTGATACCACCAATATACTACACCACGAAAATAATAAACAACTTCAAATTCTCGGGGACCTTTATATATATCAAAAGCAGCAAACACTCAGCAAAATTTATTTTGAGTGTAGCAGCAACATGTTGAAGTGCATTTATCAAACATTTAATGCCATTTGCATGCTACCAATTTCTGGTCAGCTCCCTTATATTGGGACGCTTGTTTTTCAAAAAATTCCATAGCTACAACGGGTAAATTTAAAATTTTAAAATAATTATAACAGAAGGAATTCACAGATAATAAAGAAAAAGAAATCTGTGAAGAACCATTATTACCTTAATCTGGAAGGGACCTGATATTTAAAAAGAAAGAAAAAAAAAAGTAACTTGTAAAATATTTTTGTTTGACTACATGGTTTGTAAGGAAATGCTAATGACCAGAAGAATTTTCGAGTTGGAAGTTTTATGAGACATTTTTCTATTGAAAATTGTCGGTTATTTTGTGACTTGTATGAATCTTTTACTTTATTGTTGATTCATCGTGAAACATTTATGAACACAATAAAAAAAAAAGGAAGCTATATTTGTTAATCTAATTTTATGATACTGTCATAATAATCTAATCTAAAAATACAAAGAAGGCCTTTTGGTGAGAAATGTAGATATATGAGATAGTCTCCAAGGTGCTTATTCGATTTCATTTTTAATATAAAGATGAATTTTAATAAACTTACATCAAATGATAACTATTTCTGTGCTCAAGTATTTTTCTTTATATACATTTAAAAATAATGTTCTAACAAATTTGTTCTAACAAAAAAATTTTCTTTAAATAATTAAATCTCATTAGATATCTCTAATGTAAATAGTATAAGTACGAGTCAGGCATGTTTAATACTAAGTTCTTGAGAAAATTGGGTCATTGGCTGTTTAGGAACTAGTTTATTTACTAAGAATGTAATAAAATATATATATATATATATATATATATATATATATATTTGGTTGGATAGATGTGAGTATCCAACCAAATATGTTAGCTCTATCTCTGATATTGAGCGCTTTCTAATAAGTACCGCGCATATAATATATAAATAATTATACATATATATATTTGTTTATATTTATATACACTTTTCACATATATATATATAAATAGGAGGCATGATGGAGTAATGGATAGCAACTTATATTGAGAAATCAAAGAGCTAAGTTCAAATACCAGTCAAGTTCATTGCATTCACTGACATGCTAATACCTTTGGGAAAGGCATGAATCCATCTCTTCTCCCCCAGCTATAGGTAAATAACAAAACAGACTTGGTCCTATAGCCTTAGGTGGCAAATGCTTTAGGAGAACAACTCTGAATTCAAAATATTAGGAGGTTCATTTGGGGACCTTGTGGCACGCTGTTCACCAGTTCTCAGTATTTGACTCTTCTGAAATATGTAATTGGTTCTGCACAAGACTTCATCATTATAATTAAATCATATGTATGAGTAGTCTGTTTGCTTCTAAGAACTGAGCTACTGGACTCTGATATGTGGGAAAATGATAGCAGAGTCCTCCCTTCCCCTCTATCTAACAAATATATGCAGGGTGCGATGGGTAAATTGTGTCGCCACTTTATATTTTTAATTTTGCCCATGCATGTTGTTTATTTTTTATTTTTGTCAACAGTACAGTATGGTAGAGTCAGTTGGGCACCATCTGTGAGAAAAAGTGCACCATGACACAATTCACTGTGCCAGAAATTTAGAAATGGTATGCTGTACTGCTTTGCATTCGCTCTGGAATCTCCAATAAAAATATTTCAGAATATTTGAGTGTTATTCTGTGGACAGTGCAGAGGATTCAGAAAGAGGTAGATGAGTCTAATGGTGATTACGATGATGTTTGAAGTGATTGCTAGTGGTGGCAACATTGTGCCTCCATTCATCTTCCCACAGGGCCTCAGACTCAACACAGAATCCTATTTCAAGGGCTTTGAGGAGGTGGTGCTGTTCTGGATCAAGAGGGTGGCTGCTGGAAGAGCATATGTCTGGCACCAGGACAGCATCATGCCACACAAGCAGGAGAACCCAGTCATGGCTGTCTGACAATTTCTGCAACCACATCACCCCTTACATCTGGCCACCTAACTCCCCAGACTACAACCCCCTCGATTATTTTGTGGGGGGCACAGTTGAGCAAGAGACCAAAAAAACTGCAAAGATGAAGGCAAAGATTATAACAGCATTCACCAAAATAAACAAGGAGACCATCCAGATTGACTTGAAATAAATACCAAAGTCGTCTGGAGGCTAAAATTGCTCTTTAGTATTTCAAGATAATTTTGTCTAATTTTGGTAAATGTATTTATTAAAATGAGATGTTAGTGTTATTTTCAATTTTGTGTAATTTAGATGACAGTTTATCCATCGCACCCTCTGTTTGTGTGTGTGTGTGTGTGTGTGTGTGTGTATATATATATATAATATATATATATGTGTGTGTGTCTGTCTGTGTATAAAAAGTGGACAATCTGCTTCATGCTAAATGCAATTGTCAGGCTGGCAATTGTGTTTAGCATGAGAATTTTTCTTAAATATAAAAATACATTAAATATATTAAACAATGTTTTCTTTTAATCTATTATGATTTATTTAATAAAGAAAAAAATATAGCATTAATTAATAATAATAAATAGTTAAATAAAAAAATTGATAATTTCTTGAACTTTGTTTTTGTTGTAAAAAAAAAAATCACCTTTGTTATGTAAACTTAAAACCAAAGAAAAGTCTGATTTTTCTTAAAAGTAAAAATATTTTCTGCATATTAGAATTCTTCAGTTGCTTGGGAGTTTTTGCTCCCACACAGGCCATGAAAAAATGAAAAACACTGGTCATCTATGATGTTTCTTGGGGTTATTGGGTGTTTTGAATCTTTCAACAATTAAGCCCTGGCTTCAGGTAGAACTACCTGGTACACAGCCACTATTTGATAGTTTTATCATCTCTCTGAAAATATGAAAGAGTACTTATTTCAAAATCTTTAAGTGGACCAGAATGTTGAGATGAAATTGATCATTTAAAAGACACTGTTATGTTCATTACATGTAATTTAATAACCATCTTGCTTTTTCTTCTTTTAGACCCTTTGATGATGGCCGGTTTTGGTCAAGAAGGTGAATTTTACTCTGGAGGCTATGGAGATCAGCAGAGCTTTGGCTATAATATGGATGCCCAGGCCATCAGTGGATTTGGCCAAGAGCCACAGTTTGGTCAGTTTGACTACACACAGACCACAACAACTACGACGACATACATGTCAAACCAGAATCCTTATATGGGCTCCATTATGACCCCAGACCCTTCAATTTACAGCAGTTCCCCATCAGACAACTTTGATGATGAACCACCCTTAATGGAAGAGCTGGGTATTAACTTTGACCACATCACCCAGAAAACAATGGCTGTCCTGAACCCATTGCTTGATGCAGATCACAACATAATGCAAGATACAGACTTAGCAGGACCTCTTGTCTTCTGCATAGCATTTGGGGGTGCACTCATGCTGACTGGCAAATTACATTTCGGTTACATCTATGGCATTGGTGTTGTGGGCTGTCTTGCAATGTACGGTCTCTTGAACATGATGAGTATGACTGGAATCTCCCCTGGTTGTACCATCAGTGTTCTTGGCTACTGTTTGCTGCCAATGGTCATTCTGTCTTCTGTGTCTATTATACTATCACTGAAAGGTGTCATCGGAACAGTGCTGACTGTGTTAGCGGTGTTCTGGTGTAGCCTCTCGGCATCTAAATTGTTTGTGTCAGCTTTGGCAATGACCGATCAACAATTACTGGTTGCTTATCCTTGTGCATTGGTCTATGGTGTGTTTGCACTTTTGACTGTCTTTTAGATTGCCTTGACCTATAGGCAGTTTGTTGACCATTGGGAAGTCCTTCTGTTGGTTTCTATCCAGATGTTTAATCTTTCCAGACATTGTGGAAGCTTTCTTTTCTGCTGTCACTTTTCAAAAAAGCTTACCATTATTTTCTTCATGTGATATTGGGGTGCTTGGCCAACATATATACAAGCACAGAATGAGTTATGGTTGGTATTTGAAAAATGTGGATTTCGGCTCTAAAATGAGTGTACAGTTGAACTAATTAAATTCTCCTCAGTGTCTGGAAATTCTTTACCCAACCTCAAAACACCTACAAAATTACATGTCCCTCCATTTAAAAATATTCATATTTTGGAACATGAATATTTTCTTTTTTTTTTTTTTTTTTTTTTTTATTTCCCTCTCCGCCCATATTATCCTTAACTTCATGTCTTTCTGTTTCTTTCTTTTGATTGACAAAATTTTCTCTTTCTTTCGTTTTCTCTGTCTATGTACAGGTTTTACTTTTTCTTTTCTTTTCTTTTCTTATTCAAGCCTTTTAAACCACCTTTTCTCTAGCCATATTTTGTCATTATATTAGAAAGACAACATGCTATGTGCTTTTAAAAAAAAGCCTGTTTGCTTACTGAGATTCTATTAAATTTAGGGGCCTCTACCAGAATATTAATTAAGCCTGTCTCTCTGGGTTTCACCTACAATAAAAAAAAATATTCAAGCTGTTTTATTTTTTTACTTCTTTCTGCCTCTATTCATTTTATCAGAATTTTTGCTTCTCTTTATTTTCTGTATCAGTTTTTCTTTTTATTTCTCTATCTTTAATAATAGCTGGACATTATTGCCAGCAATCTCTTTATATTCTAATTCATTCAGTCATTTACATTATCATAAAACCCCTAAAAGCTATCCAAATTGAATAAATACTTAATAAAATGTTTTTTAGGTCTTTGGTCCTAATCTGTTTGCATAAAGATCACAGACTAATAAACATCAGTGTGTGTATGTATATGTATATATATATATATATATATATATATATATATATATATATATTCATTAAACTATTATCCTCTTGTTTTATTTATTTTAAAGAATTGTCTTCTCCAATATCTGACATTATCTGGCCTTTTCATTTGTGCCTGGTTGCAAAAATAGTTTTGAGTTATACTTCTCTACTTGAAGTGAATTCTAAGACTTGTAGCTAAGAATTCATCTGTGATTTCTCTGTCACATTTTTGAAGAATATGTTATCATGGTCTTTCCTGCTTTCTCCTACTTCAAGATTAATCTATTTCCATGATGATTCTCTGTGTGTGTGTGTACATACACACACACACACACACACACACATATATATATATATATATATATATATATATATATATATATATATATATATAGAGTGAATGTTTATCTTCAACTGAATAGGTTTTCCTCTTTATTAGCAATTTCATCTATTAGTAATGGTTTGCAATTATAAAAAGTATTTTCATCCTTTTTGCAAGGAAGGGGACCTTTCATTGGGATTTCTATATCTAAACAAAGAATGTTTTACTTATACTGTTATCTCCTGAAAATAAATTATTCATTTGTAGTAGGCTTTTATACAGACTTATTGTTGCTAATAGTCTCCAAGAAAGGAACTATTAAGATGTTGTATTATTTTCATACTGTGAAATTGGTTCTGTAGATTTTATAATTGTTAGCAACTGAGTAATTTTTCCAGTCATTTTTCCATGCTGAAACATGAGGATAATAGTCAAAACTTAAAATAAAAACATTGTAAGTTCTAACAGAAGGCTTTTAATATGAGGGAGGTGCTAAACAATTCTTGAATTAACCTTTTTTTTTTTTTTTTATTTGGATATTGGTCAGATTTTGGGAAGGAGTTTGAGTTAAGAACTTTTTAGTACCTCCTTGTACATTGCAGTTGATTTTATATGAAATTAAAGGTGTGATGTATGTAATATAAGTAAGTTCCCCTGCTTTGTATTGCTTATCTATACATAGCTGCTTTCTTCTACTTACATTAAAAAGCAAAAATATTAAAAACTTTTTTTTAACATGAAAAATAAATTGCTTTTTTCATACTTGACCTATTTGTGAATTGGTACAATGCAACAGTGTCTGGTCAGATATAACAACTTTTAAACTTATACATGTACAATTAAAGAGCTTAATGCAAAAACTTACTCACATTATGGATTCTGAGAGAAACTTGGGATTTAAGAAGTTACCTGTTTGAAATATCTCTTGGACTCCAGAAACAAAGCATAAATTGGATATGGCTTAAAATGTGACTTAACCTGTCAGCATTCAACCTGCCCTGTAAATATCGACTCTTAATATTCAACCCACCATAACCTGCCCTATGTATGCTCTGCCATGATGTATGACGATATCTTTACAAAAAATGCAGGAAGTCATGCAAACGTTGTGACCTTGACCATAAACAGTGAGACTTTGAGAGTCAATATTTACGGGGAGGGTTTGAGCGTGTTGAATGCTAAAGGGTTAAATATCAGTGCAAAAAAAAAAAGATTGCATTTATTAAAGTTGTCACTTGGAAAACTATGGTAAACATTGCTATTAGGCTTAAGTGGTCATAAAATGAAAAATTTTGCAAGGGAACTTGGATTCTAGTTTTTATGTTTCTTAACAAATGACTTAGAAACATTATTATACAAAAAAAAATTTGTATGAGAGTTATTGCATAGAAAGATGGAAGTTATGTACAGTTTTTAACCAGGCATTTTATGATTTCGCAATAACATTTCATTTTCCTACTAAATATGTCAAAAATACTCAAGGATAATAAAGAAATATGAGAACATTGACACCCTCAAGCAAATTCTAATTGGAACATCAGAAAATATTTAATGTTATTTAAGTGTACAGTTTTTAAAATGGTGTCTTAAGTAAAATGAACTGTTTTCCATAAACAAGTGGTCAGGACAACTCATTACGAAAATGGTGACTGAGAAAGTATTTCATATGTAAAATTTGCAATGGTGAAATATATCGTCATTAAATATTTAAAAAATATGCAATCAATGATGACTAATTATAAAACTCAATGCTACGGTTTAACTTTCTGTCATGTGATAACATCTGATTTCTGGTGGGCCATCAGTGAAAACAGAAATTGTTTACTTTTACTGGTTCATCATCAGAATTTCTACTGGTGCTCATTAGTTGTATCCAGTTGATGTATTACAAGGTTACCAAGAACTAATTGTATACATGTCGATTTATTGGTGTCACTTTTAACAGGAAAATTATATATATATATAATTAAAATATACAACTATTTTCATTGGTTCTGCAAGTCTTTATTTATATAAGTGCATCTATAAGTCTGCAGCCTAATTATGAAAAGAAGCTTTTAATTACACAGCAAATATTTATTTTTTTAGTATAATCTTTGTCAATGCCCTTGAATATTAATGATATAGAAGACTGATTATACATTGACAATATCAGATCAAAATTCAGCTAATAATTATGTTTCAGGCTGCAAACTTATTGATTAATCTTATATTTTGCATGCTTTAAAAACAAGTAAATTTTTTCACATTTTCATATTTTTTTATGGTTTTGTTTTTAATGAAAATGTTAATCTTTGATTAAATTCTTGAATTTTACACAAGTTTCTCATTTCATCTTTTATTTAAATGTTGCTTTTGTTATGAGTTTCAATTGGAGAAGCTCTCATTCCTTTATCTTTTATAATTTCTTTGTATAGAGGCTAATTTCCATTTGTAAAAACTGATTCTACTATTTATATAAGACTAAGAATATCTACATCTTGTTAAATCAACTTTGCCTTATATACTAAAAGTAATTGATCCAAAGATCAATTAATATTCAACTAATCATGTCCGTCCTGTTAATAGGTCTGACTGCAGTGTCAAATAACAGAAGGTCATTATATCTCTAAAGAAATTTTGATGATAAACCTGGACGTTTTGAAAACTACAATTTCATAATTATCTCCCTTGAATTATTCGACATCTTTAATATAAACAGTGGATGAAATGCAAATACATTTTTATATTCCAGCGTCAAATAAAAAAAAATTCTCATTGAATTCTGCATATGTACAGAAGTTCAGTAAAATTAATAATATCTTCTGAAATTGCCAAAATAATCTTTTCTATAGTTCTTTAATTTTAAACTATTTAATTAAATATTTTATAGGTTAGCCTATCGTCTGGTTAACACATCTTCACTGTATTTTGAACAGAAGTAAAGGATGACTCCTTGTTTCCTGTTTAGGATTAAGTTTCTGGTTCCTTCTAAAATCTTTACATTCTCTTTCACTCCCAGTAGCCCCTTGAATCTTTGTGGCATTTTTGTCTTGCTTGGG